GAATATTAGAGAAGTAATATAATGAACCATTTTATTTTTCATTTATACCTCAAAAAACTGCAAAAATACAAACAGTGTCTGGAAAAAAAAAGTTTGCATAAGTATTTGTGGTGTACTTTCAGTTATTTTTAATTTTGCTGACCTGAGTTTTCTTTCTATATTATCTTATGTTCATGAATTTAAATATGATTGCTATTCTGTCTACAAGTCATATTCTTATCTTCTTTAGAATTTCCTATAGATGTGGTCTTTTCTACTTTAAATTTTTAGTGAACTTTGAGGTTTAGAGATTATTTTATGACAAATGTCTGATAGCTCTCTTATTTAATTTCCATACAATGCACCAAACCTTGTTTTATGGCATGAGTAACTGATGCTGTTTCTAAGAATAAAAATAAATCAATTTAGTTTTCCTTTGTAAAATATGACATTTATTTGACTCATCATACGCATCTTCCTGCTTGTATTTATTATTGGATATCTGATAGTATGTATTTTAAAAGTGGTGATCATATATATAGGAAAGAGGTAAAATAAAATGGTGAACCTGATAAGTGATAATATTCAACTTATATCAATAGCATAAACTTTGGAAGTTACAAAAAAGAAAATGGAACAGAAAGAAAACAGAAGTCTAAGGTACTGTAGATCAGAAGTCTGTGTTAGAGGGATGAAATCGGTGTGCCGCTAGGGCTGATTTCTTTTGTGTAAGACCTAGGAAAGAATACGCTCTCACTAATCCGATTCCTGGAAGTCAGCTCCTTGTAGTTCTAGGGCCGAGGTTCGTGTTTCCTGTGTAACTGACAGACAGGCATCAGGCATCGCTATCCTTACTTCCTTCTCGTCTACCTCCAGCCTAGTCTATGACCCCCGTACATCTGAAAGGGTATGTCAGACCCCTCCCATTCCCAGTACCTTTCTAGCTTCCTCTTCTGCTCTATCTTTTCCGCCTTCTGCACTGCGTCTTCCTGACTCTAGCCAAAGAAAGATCTCTCCTTAATAACTATTATAAAGTGTTTAAAAATTTATAAAATGATGTGAAAATTGACTACTTCTGATCAAGCTAGATAATTCAGAGGAATCTCTCTATTTTATGATGTCTACAATCAATATAATCTGCAAATTCTCCTTTTCTATGAAATGCAACATATTCAAAGGTTATGGGGATTGAGGTGTGAATGTCTTTGTGCTACCACAGCAATACATGCCAGATGCTAAAGATTTTGAAGATGTTCACCTAAGACTAGTTTCTTATCAATTAACAGATATCTAATTTTATAATTCTTCAAGCATTTATACTCAAATTTAATGAATAGAAAAATAATTAGTAATAATATGCATTGTGATGTATATTCAACTCAACATAAATTAGTAACTTAAATTGGCTTCAAATTGAGCAATATGATAGGTTATAATACACATATATGAAAACTTCAGACTAAAGACCTGATGTGTTTTTAAATGCATTAATCTGGTAAAATTTATCAATTAACTTTCCTTGAACAGCTATAACCATCATGAGAAAATGGAATTGTTTTTGTCATTGTAGTTACAAATTGTATTATGTTCCTTCTGCAGCTTTTGTTTGTTCAAAGATACTTTTTGCTTTCTTTAGTAATAATTACTGTATAGACAACTTGGTGAATGAAAATATACTGCTAGAGTTTACAATGATGGAAAAAGTATCTGTAGTAAAAAGCAAATATGATTTAAGAGAAGCATGCTAGTTCTTTACTCAGATGAACCCCAAGTTTGATCTGTAGCTAAGTTATTGAGATGGTCCAATCATGATTATGACAAAAAAAATCATACCAAGAACAATATGATTGCAATCAAGCTTCTGACCAAAGGTACTGAAAATTAATATACTTTATATTGCCTGAAATATGTGTTACTTCCACTTCTTATTCTAAATGACCCCAAAGCTAAACTAAAGAAAGTCCCTCAAGAATTCAGTAAAGAATAGCATTATGAATTTAAAATTTATCTGAAAACTTTTTTCTGAGTTTAGTTCATGCAATTTTCTTATACTTAACTGTAGTTCCCTATATCATTACAGCCATTTGGAAGTAGACAATTTTCTTTTATCCATATGTATGACTTGTCAAATTTAAAATAGTAGCTGTTGAGAATGGGAGGAGGTTGGGAATAGCTTTCCACTTTGTTATTTGATGCAGTGTTTGGGAGTGCACAAGAACGGTATCTTTATCAAGTAGGTAAAATGGCATTAAACTGTGCTCACAGTTTAATATAGGTTTGGGGAGCACTAGAGTTTTCTGAGTTAGATCACGAAATGCTGATTGAAATAGCACTAGCCAATTAGACAACCAGAAAAAATGGACATTTCTTCATTTAAAGGATAAAATTTTAACTAAGAAGGTGTATAATTTTTGACATTCACTGCTACTTTGGCTAACAGTCCAATTATAGTAACACTCAACTTTATAGATTTATTTTTCACCTACCAAATGTGAAGTAGCTCAGAAATCCAAATCCAGTTTTGTGACGATAACATCATTAAGGTGTAAGGAAGGCCAAGTATACTCACATTAGATTATTGAGAATACAACACAAAAGAAGTTGAAAAAGATAATTTTCCATTGCATCCTAGGGAAGAATCTTGAAATATTTGGTTATCATTCAGTATATTTCAACTATACAAAATTAGAGACTTTGGAATAAATAAGATGACCAAGTTGGAAAAAAATAATAAACAAATAATAAATAAAATGATCTACATGGTATGAACAGAGGTACTGAACGACATAAAACTCAAAAGACTTGTGTAAAAGACTCAAGAGAAGTGAAACACCTAAGGCTTGTGTTTTCTTGTATACAGAAACAGAGCAATGGGTGCTGGTTACTGTAAATTTGTTTTCTTCTTCAAATTCATAATGTTTCCTTGGTTGTACAAAGTAAAGACAGTGCCATCTACATACCTGTCTGTCTATCTTCTCTCATTTTTTTCCTGTTGATTATTTCAAATTTCCACAAAATTAGTGGTTAAAACAACAGATTTGTTATCTTACATTTGTGTGAAGATCAAAGATCTAAAATTCATCAGGATAAATTCAGGCAGACACAATATTTTCTTTTCTTTTCTTGTTATTTATTTATTCTTTTTTGTACTGGGGATCAAACTCAGGACCTTGTGTTTGCCAGGCAGACAGGCACAGCAGCACCAAGAGCTATACCCCTGGCCCTAAATTCAGATTATAAAAAGGGCTGCTTTAATTTTGTATGCTTTCTGGGAAAATTCCTTCCTTTTTGTAGCTTCTTCAGCCACCTGCAGTTTTTGATTGTGTTTGTTTTTGTTTTGCACTTTATTCCATATTTTACATCAACAATATAGTATGAAATCTGTCACCTACTTAAATCTCTCTCGTTCCTTCATTATAGCTCTTTCTTTAACTCAGACTACACCTTTAATCATTCAATTTTGAGGACCCTGATGATTACATTAATATCTCATGAATAATCCACAGTTGCTGCATTTTATGGTCAGTTTACTAGTTACCTCTAATATTAATTACATTTTGATACATATTATATTCACAATCTGAGTATTACTAGGAACATTGGTGGAGGCCATTATTTTGCCTATCACAATATCGATCATCTACATTTTATTTTAAAAACTGTTATCACAATTTTGGTATAAATTTACTTAATACATGAAATAATACTGTCAAATGCCCTGCTAATTAATTTTAATGGTTTCATTTATTTGTTAAACTTTTATTAGTACTCATTTACAGTTCATAATGATCACATTCATTGTAGATAACAGGTACATGTATATAACACCTTTCAATTCCCTTTTTCCCCCTCTCTTCACTCCTCTTTTGTTTTTCCAGTGTCATATTCACTTCTTTAACTTGTAAAGTTAATTATCAAATGTATAGATCAAAAAACGGACCAATAGGCCAAAGAATGTAAAATTGCATAAGACAATTGTATAAAGGAAAGGTACAATTTTAGTTACACTGTCTGCACTGGATTACAATACTTTTTTTCTTTCTCTCCTTTATCCCTATTGTCTTTTATTTTGTACTTTATAAATGTAATGAGTTTGTCATCTAAGAGAAACTATCGATATTTAAGCTTGTGTATCTGAGTTACTTCACTTAACGTGATCTCGGGATGTGTCCATTTTCCTTCAAATATCTTGTTTATCCTTCTTTATGGTGAAGCAGTACTTCATTATGTATAAATATTATATTTTTATCCATTCATCTGTTGATGGTCAAATAGGGTATTTCCAAGATGTAGCTATTAGAAATTTGTGGACTGCCTATGTCACTGTGATGTGAACATTTTAATTTTTTTTAAATTTAATTCTTTTGGGACAATTCCTAGAAGTAGAATAGCTTGATCAAATTTAATTCCTACTTTCAGGTTTTTTTTTTCTCTCTCTGTCCTGATTTCTATAGGGGTTGCATCAGTTGACAGTCAAGCCAATTATACAAGTCAAACCCCTCTCCATAGCCTCACCGGTATTGGCTATTTGTTGATTTCTTGGTTGTAGCCATTCTTTCTGTAATGAGATGAAAACTCTGTTGTTTTACTTTGAATTATTCAAATGGCCAGTGATATCACTCATTTTTCATGCAATTCTGGGCCATTTGTATTCCTTTATCTGAGGAGTATCTTTTAATTTCAGATGCATATTTTTAATTGCTTCTTTAATTTTCAGGGTTCTAATTTTTTTAAATTATTTACATCTTCCAAATATTAGTCCTTTGTGTGAGATGTAGCTGGCAAAATTTTCCAATTATCTAGGTTGTCTCTTCAATCAGTAAATGGGTTTCTTTGCTGTGCAGTATGTTTAAAATATGATTTTATTTCATTTGTTGTTCTCAGTATTATTTCTTGTACAAACAAAGCTTTGTCCATAAGAGACTTAGCTACAGGTATGTCTTCAAGAATTGTATGTAATTTGTCTTCCAACAGGGCATTTCTAGTCTAATGTTTAACTCTTTAATCCCTTTTGATTTCAGTTTAATGCATGGTGGTGAAGTATGGATTTAAATTCAGTCTTTAGCAAGTGGATACCCAATTCTCCCAGGACCATTTATTAAAGAACTATTTTTCATCCAGCAAAGGTATGTGCCCCCTTTGTCAACAAAAGCATAGCTGAGTGTTCCCATAATTGCTTCTGTATCTTGCATTGTGTCTCACTGAACTTTGGGTTTATTCTTGTGCCAATGCCATGATTTTTTTTTTTAAATCTCTGTAGCTTTGTAGTATAATTTGAAGTCTTGGTTGTGATGTCCCCTACCTTGCCCTTGTTGCCCAGAATTGTTTTTGCTACTCTAGATATCTTCTGGTTCCATAAGAATTTTACAATTGCTTTCTTCAGTTCTATAAAGAATGTTATTGCTATTTTGATTGAGATCATGTTAAATCTATATAACGGTTTTGAATATATGGCTACTTTTACTATATTGATTCTCTCTATCCAGGAACAGGGGATATCTTTCTATTGTATGGTATCCTCTTCAATCTCCATTTTCAGAGTACTATAGCTTTCATTGCAAAGGCCCTTCATTTTCTTAGATTAATTCTTAAGTATTTCATTTTTCCTGATGCTATTATGAATGGTATTGCTTTTCTGCATTCCCACTCAGTGAATTTAATATTGGTATGCATGAATGCTGTGGTATGCATGAATTTTGAGTGCTGACTTTGTATCTTGCTACACTAACCAATTTGGACATTAGTTTTGAGTCTTTTTGTAGAGATTTTGTGGACTTCCATGTAGATGATCATGTCATTGGCAAAAAATTAAAATTTAAATTCTTTTTTTATCTATTAATTCAAGCACAGCTTGCCTATCTCAATACAGGAGAGCAAATAGAAACAGAACCAGAATAACTTCAGTTAGAAATAGCAGTAAAATTCATGACAAAACAGAAGCCTAGCTTTTGGGGTGCTCATTAACATAAAAACAAAAATTCCATATGTAATAATTGAGAACCCCTCACTGTAAGTCTGATAATTGTTATTGGGGGTCTTGAAATATGAAGACCAGTGGTAGTAGAAAGAATAAATAGTATTATCAGATAGTCAACAATATTAATTTATAAAAAATCTGGACTTAAACTTAAATACCTGCCCTAATATAGGTTAGATAAATAATTACTTCTAATTTTTATAGAATTTTACAAATTGAATTATGATCGAAAGTAAAAAAAAAAAAAAACAAGCTTCACATAAGCTTTCATAGAAATTTTATTACTAGTAGTCAAAAGCTGAAAAAGAAGTTAAATATCCTCACTGATTAAATAATTTAAAAATTCTTATACATACCTAAAATGGAATATTACTGAACAATAAAGGGAACAAATTATTAAGACACATTTCAACATGGATGGACTGTAGAATACTATGCTTAGAGAGACCGGTCAATCAGAAAATATATGCTACATGATCTCATGTATTCAATATTCTCAAAATAACAAAACTGTAGAAAAAGATAACTGGATGCTAGCTATCCTTAAGGACCAAACTGTATTGCAGATATAAAATAGTAATAAAGTCTTTTATTATCATGGAGTAATTAAAATAAAGGTTATACGAATGAAAACAGTAATATTGCATAAAATTGCACATTGACATACACATAAATATGTAAAATTGAACATATGTAAAATGGGCTGAAAACTGAAAATTTTAGTTAAATTAACCCTATTTCACTCATCTTAATTTCCTGCTTTCCATGTTGTACTTCATTTATATAAGATGTCCCTTTAGGGAGTAAAAGGATGATGTGACTCTATGTAACATTTTGACACCTTCATGAAAGTCCATAAACGTTTAAAAATTGAATGATAAAAATGAAATCAAACATGTTAATTACTTACTTAAAAACAGATTCTTAAATGAGAACTTCATAAATTATGATTATTATGTTCATTATGAGATATGAAATTGAGAGAATTAAGGGAAAAGAAGCACAAAAGATCACAAGTTTGAAAACAACGTAATTAAAATGACACTAAATTATAAATTATTTCATGAGAAGGTCTTGGATTTTGAGATTGACTTCAGATCCCATATTATATAATTATAGAGTAGAGATGTAGTGATTTCCAGAAAATAATTTTGCTATATTTATAAACATATTCAAAGTTCAAAAGTTAACAACAAAATGCATAGCCAGTTAAATATAAATATCTTAGAATATATACTAAAATTATTTCTAAAAAAATAGAGTACTGCCTGGGATTTGGCTCAGTGGTTCTGCCACCTGCCTCACAAGCACAAGGCCCAAGTTTGATCCCCAGTACCAAACAAAACAAAATAAAACAAAACATTAAAGTACAAAGCAAGGATAAATCCAAAGTCTCCTGAATTTTTCTCTAGAAAATTATTTTTTTCATAGTTCAACAAATTTAATTATCAATTTAGTGTGGCTCCATATCTATAGGTAATGATTGTATATAGTTATTCAATTATGTTTTATTATAAGTTGATATTGTTCCATGAAATATATCATTACACATTAAAATTACAAATTCCCTAAAATATACATTAATAGTAGTTATTCTACTCATGTCACTTCAGTATCATTTACTTTGAGCCCATTTGCAGTATACCAGCTAATCTAATGTGTTGGCTCAAAAATTCTGCACTCTATTTTGAGTAAAGGTAGAGGAAAACAATTATTAGAGTGCTTATCTTAGAATAATCATTCAAATAAACATTTGTTTCATTAGTTTAGGTACATGCCTTCCCAAATAAGGAATGTGTTAGATTAAATAATGGTAAAAATAATGGCAACTTTTATTTTTGTTTTTATGCTTGAATATTTAGTAAAGCACAAAGCACATAAAGTTGGAAATGGGATAAATTTCATATATATGTTTAAAAATTATCCACCATCTATCTATCTATCATGTATCTTTTTATCATCTATTTACTCATCCACCTGACTACAGAGAGAAGATGAAATAAGTCAGAAAATGAATGAGAAAATAGAAATTTATTTGTTGTTGTTAACAAATGACTGGTTTCTGACTTGATAATGCAGCACTACAGAGAAAATACATATTTCATGTAGAGAATAATATAAAATGCTTCTAAAATTTATACTATTCTCCCATATATATTATTGGACTTCTCTGAACTTCTTTGCTTATCAAGGAAATTTTTGGTGATTTTGAAGTAGGTTTTATGTTAATACACACACCTAGGTTCTGTGGATTTAATTTTTGTGCTGATTTACTAAATGCTTTCCATGACATTCTCCATGACATTACTGTCTGAGATCAAATCGAGTGTTGTCTTTCATCACAGCTTCCACTGCAAATTCTGTTTGATGAACAAGGCAATGAATCAAGTTTAACATGGGAAGATTTTCATCAGCAATGCAATCTTGGTCAGTTTTCTCCATCTTCTTGCTTCACTGATGTCTGTTTAGCTGCATATCAATACAACTTCTCAGGCATCTTTAAGAAAGCTAAAAATAATGTATTGCATTGTCTGTTACTTCTATGTGAACTTTTAGATCTATACTTCCAAAGTTAATAAAAAAATAATAACATTTTCTCATTAAAATTATTTGCCTTTATGTATGTCAGATAATAGTTAATATTTTTGAGGTTCTTAACAATATAGTATGTAAAATCATTTAAATGTATTTCTATATCTATGATTCCAAAAAATATACTGACATTACATTTTAATTTCTATATTTTTGTAATTTTTTTAAAAGCAGTGATTATATGCTGAAAATGCTTTCAACATATAGTAAAATATATACATTTTATAATTGTTTTACCATTTCAATAATTCTGAATGATGTTGGATTCTAAATAACCAGACAATTTTGACAATATATTAATCTCCACGTAGATAATTTTAGAAATTGCATTTAGGTATTTCCCTCAGTCACATTGAAAAGCAAAAAATGAAAGTTATGAATAGTTTATTTTTTAACCAGAGAAGGAATGTTGAACAACCTGCTGGTTTAATTAAAAGTAGAAATAATTTTACACTTAGTAATTATGGCTATAGCTATAATAGACAAATGGTCCTAAAGCACATTCTTATCCCCAGATGGAATTAGAGATACATATTATGTGTTCCTATGATACATGGCAACTGCCTCCAGTCGAAGTTCCTATCACATATTCTTGTAATTAATATTTAATTATTAGTTTTTTCTTTCCTGTGATCTCCTTGAAAGGAGAGATTGTCTATTTTTTAAAGCCAATTGACTAGCCTAAATATTGTCATTTTTCTTGAAGAAATTATTCCATGTTTGCATAGTTAGACTTAATGTCTTGTTACCATAACTATACCATTTCATTGGAAGTAATGAGCATTACAATAGTAGAACATTCACTGAAGTACTTGTATTAAATTTTCAGTAATGAAAGCACTGTGTAGGTGCATCAACCTTTGACTCATTTATTTTTGGATCTTATTTCACTAGCTTAATAACTTTAAAATAATTTTTCATAATTTGTATGATCATAACATTTATTTGAATTTAAAAGGACAGAATGAACCTGTTTCATTTTGCATTGTGTCTATGTAATTCCTTCCATAGGGATTCAATTTCTTAACTTACTAAGTATTCTGTAACTTACTTTCTCACTACTTACCAATATATCATGACACTCAAAATATAAATAAAAAAGAAATCATGAAAATGTGCTATTAATTTTTTTAAGTGTGTGGTGCTAAACTATGGAGAAATATTAGTCTGCATTACAGGTTAAGAAAAGATGATTATGGATATTTTGAGAAGAAAATGACAACAAGGAATCTGAAAGTAAGAGCTTATTATGGTAAGCAAACATGCGTTGTGTTAAGTTTCCTGGCACTAACCATGTGATTGATGAGTTAATCATGATTTTCAACTTCAATGAATTGAGAAGCTCTTGGGAAATTATTGAAGCACATTTCTTGGTGTGTCTGTGAATGGGTTTACAGAGATTATCAGCTTGTGATATAGCTAAATGGGGGCAAGTCCAATCCTGAAAGTCTGCCATACTCACCTGCTGTGATGTTTACTCTGTATTCTCAAAGCAGTGAATTCAGGTGAACACATAGACAGAAACTTCTGAAACCATGAGCCAAAATCAACCTTGCCTATTTTAAGTTGATTTTTTCAAGTATTTTGTCTCATGACCAGAATGATGAATAACGGGATTATTTGTCCATAAGTCATTTATGTAAGTTTTCCTAACAGTCTGAAAAACAACAGAAGAGACATAGGAAAAAATGTAGACCTTGGGTAAAGTCACGTACTGGTTACTGTCTTTCCAACCTCATGGGAGGCCTGTATAAATTATGCAGCAGTCCTATAGAGTCCTGGACCAGGCTAGGGAGGAGGCTTCCACAGTCCTTGCCACATCAGTGTTAAGGCACAGAATAGAGTTTTATGTGCAACAGAAATCAAGAGAAAGGATGGCAACGTGGGCTCCCACTGTTCAATGCCGTTTTAAAATGTAGCAACAGCTGTATTTAAAGACAACTCTGAAGCGCAGGACGATCAACATGGGAAAAAATGATCTAAAATATCTGCATAAGTTGGAACCATTGTCTAACCACGTGTGTGTAAGGGAGGGGAAGGAAGAAAAATGACAACTGGTAAAAAAAATGGAGAAATGATAACAGCGAAGGGAGAACAGACGATCCAGCTTTGAAACATGACACCTCTGACCAATAGTTCTTTTCTTATAAGCTACTTTTTTAGAGAAAAACTGCACTTCTGTTTACAGCATTTGGGGAAAGTTATCCTTTAATCTTTGTTTTAACATTTCCAGAAAAAGAATCACACAGTACTTCCCAGGTCAGTGACTTATACAATGAACCCGGCTTCTTTCAGTTTGCTCAAATTATTTGGTCTTATTCATCTCATCATTGACAGGTCACAAGGAATCCTAAATGTCAAATAGAATATCTGCTTTTACATTATTTTCCTCACTCAAAGGAGAAACTCTGTATGTTTCTCTGTGTGCCCCTGAAGTCAAGCCACAAGGAATTACAGTATTATCAGCTATTGTTTTATTAACCATCAGTTATTATTTCAGTTAAATATTTTAGATACCATAGTGTGGTATCTAAATCAGTTTTGAAAACATGAATTAAAACAGTAATCTCTTGAAATATATACATTTCAAACAAAGGAAAACACCTGTCCTTCTATGGCACTTCTTGAAGTTTCTACACATAATGACAGATTTTTATTTTACTAAATAATTTCCTATTTTTGTCCCTAATAAATTATAAGTCCAACACAGAAAAATGAAGGGTATAGTATCTACTCTTAAATATCAAATCTAGTGCCTTTATGTAATAAATATTAAATAGTCATGAAATAAATGAAGAGATTAATAAAGTTCAAATATAGTAAAGTTTTCTTATTTACATATTCATATTCATTTCCTCCATTCTTTGTATAATTCATTTCCAAATACATATAATTAATCATGTCTATTTTATATTACCTTAAAGTTGTTTCATTAACTGTATTTTATAGTCTCTTCAAATATTCTAATTCCCTCTAGCCATTATCTAAAACCTACTTTAAATGGTGTTGGTTGAATAGCTTTGTTTATATTCTGTTCCCATAATTAGTACTAACTGCAACCTGGGACTCATTTCTTCCCAAAGAGTATCCATATCTCTTTATTATTATATTATAATTAATCTCTGGGCAATAATTTGTAATATTATATATGAAAAGTCCATCTCAACCTCAGAATATGCAGTTAGTATGGAGTTTTCTCATAAAAAAGAACCACTTGATAACTGTATTTTCCTTTATCCATTTTTGTTTGTCAAATTAAAATTGGTGTTTAAAAAGAACTATAGGAGAAAGAAGTAATGGGTTTTTATTAACAAGTCTTATATGAAAAGATGAAAGGAAGTAGTAAATTCTCTAAGAGCAAAATTGTGCTCCAGCATTGGTCCAAAACAGATTTAATTAATGTGTTGGCTCAACAAGAGAACAGACCACAGTGACTATAATCAGTTGTAGTCATTTCTTACTGTCTCAAGAAAGCATATAATACATTTTTTAAATGCGGGAATCTTGTTAGATATTGTATTTTGCTTATCAAATATTTTGGACCCACTTTACATTTATTGAAGATATACATTATGGGGTTTTTATCTTTATGGCTTCAAGGAGCTGAAAATATATGGATATTATATATTAACTATAAGATGTCAATCTCAAAGATATGATTATTTTGAATGTGTTTTCAGTTTTGTTGACTTAAAAAAGAGAAAAAAAAGGTGTAGTTTGAATACTTGTGCGTAGTGAGATTTTATCCAATATTGTTTTCCAGTCCTAGAACAATTCCACAGAAAAAGTGGTGGGAATATAGTCACTGAATAAATTAATGAGTGAATAAACTACTTGATGATATGGTGAAATATCCTACATTCATTTTTTTCTTCTGTAGAACTTGGATCGATGTGGTTTTTCTCTGTAAATAGGTCTGTTATGGTTTAGATCTAAATTGCACTTCTCTAATTTCATGTCTTTGGCAGCTATTTGATCTAGAGGGGCACTGTCCTCATCAGTGTATTTATTCATTGATGAGTTCAGTAGCTGAATGTGATATTAGTAGACTGGGTCAGGCTGGAGGTGGGACACTGGGGCATTGACCAGTAGAAGTTTATTGTTGTTCTAGAAATTATTCTTTGTCTCTGCTTTCTTAGTGTAATGGATCTAGCAGAAGCCTTCTCCCACAGGCCTTTCTACCATGATTTTGCCGACTTGGAAGCAGCTGACTAGGAACTGATACTGTGAGACAAACTAAACCTTTAACTTGTGAGTATTTGGAATTTAGTTTCAGGAAGAGAAAATTAATTTAGACAGATCGAATACATGAAATTTTTACTTTGTGTAAGGAAGTCGCAAAGAAAAGAAGTGCATTGGTGGCTATCTCCTCTACAGAGCTATTGCAATTATTCCATTCTAATGGACATTTGTCTTTGTTGAGGTCCTACTCTTTACTATGGTGCCTGCGTCCATAAAGTTGTTGAATATTGCTTTATTTCAGATATCAAAATCCTCCAAACGTTCCATGTGTTTGGAAAGTGATAAAATTGTGGCGAATGTGACTTTGGATAATCTACATGGTGCCTGGCCCCTTCTTCTCCAGCACTCATCCTCTGTGTTCCTCTCACCGTGAACTAAGCATCACTGCTCTATTATGTCCTTGCACCATGATGTCTCTACCTTAGAATAGCTGGATCATAGATCAGATTCCCCAGAACACAATTAAATTTGACACCATTAACTTGAGGATGTCAAGTGTTTTGTCTTAGCAATAGGAAAGCTGACTGACATAAAATTAGTACTGGAGAAATGGATCATAACTATGAATGCACTTCACCAAGTGGATAAAAGCCTCTGAAAATGGTTTGTGAGGTGAATTTGGAAAGCTTTTGAGATGTGGGCTAGAGAAGCCCTAGAATGTGGTAAACAGGCCTTGATGGATGGTTCCAGTGAGATTTTAGAGTAACAGATTGGTAATAGCAACGAGGACAGTAAAGCCCAGATTCAGGAGACTGTTTTTCTATTGGGAAGGCCTCCACTGGCTTTTGAATTAGAGGCCATGTGTGTTATATTTTGATAGAATATTTCTCTGCATTTTGCCAATGTCCTGAGAATCTGTGTAAAGCTAAAATGAAAGGTGGTGGATTAATTGATCTTATGTAGGAAATTTCAAAGCAGCCTAAAATTGAGCAGTTCATAGCATGAATTGCTGGCTACTTTAATCAAACCTAAAATGAGAATCAGGAGAAAAATAAAACTGAGGTGAATTATTTGAAAATTGTGTAGTTTTATAAGCAAGAAAGCACCAGCAATGTTAAGGCACAGGAAAACCTGCTTGTTAAAAAGATTAGCATTATAAAGAAGTCATGTACTTTGTAGCACAAAAATAATAAAGATCCTTTAAAGGCATCTCAGGCTCCATGTTTCACAGACTCAAAATGCAAAATGGTAAGCAATTTAGAATAATTTTGCTTTGAGAAGAGTGCTCCAGAGAGCTGAGATCATTCAGGGCTGAATAGAAAATTTTTTTCTCAAAGTTCAGCATAAAGAGTTTTTTAGACAGCTGTAGCCATGTACCAAGAAGGCCTGGCTACTGCTTTCAATGGTAGGAGACACTGGCATCATCCACGTGGTACAAATATTTCATTTATTTATTTATTTATTTATTTATTGATACCGGGGATTGAACTTGGGTCCTTGCACTTGCAAGGCAGGCCACCAAGCCACTGAGCTAAATCCCCAGCCCCATACTAATAATTTAGATAGATCAAAGGTAAGAGTTGTGGGGTCATAGAGGCTTCCACTAAAGTTTCAGAAGGAAGCCTAGGATGACAGCCAGTGTGTGAAAGTTTAAGTGTAGGTGCAATGGAGATCCCAGGAAGATGGAGGTGCCAGAAACGTGGAAACGTCTGCTGAGGAAAGCCTCAGTTAATTTGCACAGACAGCTCATCAAAGAAGAGCTTGTGGTTTGCAATCAGCAAAAGGCCATAGGGGTGAGTGCTCTTAAATCCTTTGGAGCTCATATCTTTACATAACTTATCCCAGGTACTGGACGCGGAGCTAGAAGATTTAATGGCTACCATGATGGGTTTTGCCCTACTTTGGTGCTTTCATTTCTATCCCCATTTCTCTCTTTTGGAATTAGAATGTTGTCCCTCTTCCATTTTAGATGGAAATATTTAACTTTCTATTTGATTTTCATAGGGCATCACAGCTAAGAATGCACCTTGGAGTTGAACATTTTATTACTACTGCAACTGTTAAAAATCTCATGGCTTTAAGAGATGAATTATATAGTTTTCAAAATGAGACAGACATGAATCTTTTGGGACCAGGTGATTGGATCTAAAATGTTCACGTTGTCAATTATACCATTAGGAAGAAAAGGGCTAAAGGTGTAGGGGAAGTGGGAAGGTGGGAAGGGTAGGTGGAGGGAAATAAGGGGAAATAAAAAAATAGAAAATGAAAACATGGAAATACAGCATTTGTAAATAGGGAAGGGAGGAGGGGGTGAAGGGAGGGCAGGGGTAAGGGGGAAAAAATGAGAACCAAGACCTGTCATGTAGAGGTACAAAATCCCAACTGTGAATGTAACTGTACTGTTTACCTAAAATGTACCAATCAACGCAATGAGAAAAAGAAAATGTTCCCTCCAAATTTTATATGCTTGTGAAGTAATTATATCTTGGAGCCCTGACCTTGTGTATTACGTGTAGCCCTAGCCCTTTCTTCTCCAGCACTCTTTGCTCTGCTCTGCAGCCACATAAGCAGCTTTCCTCTCCTGCACCCTTCTTCCACAATGCCTCTACCTCAGACCAAGCATGTCTTGGGCTGACACCGAACATATTAAAAGTCTTCGCATTTAAATTGTAGGTGTTCAGCATTGTGTTTCAGTGATGAGAAAGGTCAAACAATTATATATGTGTTTCATGAATGTACATTTCTTAATGAACTTTACTTTAGGTTGGTTGAATGGAGTCTTCATCTACCAGCAAATGTTTCTAAAGCTTTGTGATTTCCGCAATCTGTAACACTACAATTTACATTTTTCTTTGCTCTGAAGGTATAAACTTGGTTTAGGTGCTATAAATGTACCATCTACGTGGTGGTTTTAACACCAAAGAATTATATTTTTAACAGTTCTGGGATTAGAAGTCTGAGATTTTGGTGTTAGCATGTTGGGAGTGAGGACCCTCTTGTGGAATGCTGAATACCAACTTCTCTTATATTTCATAGGCAGAAAGAGGACAAGAGAGCTCTCTGGGGTTTCATTTATACAAACACTACTGTCATTCCTGAAGACTCCTCCTTCAGGATCAAAACATCTCTCACAGCCCCTACCTCCTAATAGTATCCCATTGGAGTTAAATTTCCACATATTAGGTAGCACAGAATTTCACTGTGTTTAGAACATTTAATGATATAGCACAGTTTTCAGAACTCTCAAAATTTAGTATTTTGAAAGAATATTCCACAGCCATGCTAAGAAGGAAAATAGATGTCAAAAGATAAAAATATACAGAGATGTTATCAAAAAATAGACTGCAACTGTGTAATGAAAGAGTTGGTTTAGATATGCAAATAGAAAAATGCTATAAGGTTCAAACTTTGAATCTCAATTAAGAGTGTAATTTTTTTTTTTGCCTAATGAAGGGTGAGTTTTAAACTGCAGTAATAATGATTATGATTACCTTTTCTTTAATTAAACAAATATTGACTGTGAACTTATCCTATGTAGGTACTTTTGTGAGGTAGATGGATTGATAGCTTTACAAACAGATTTTTATAATATTCTTATTAAGTATTTTTATGAAAAAGCAGTGCTTCTTCATAGTTTAGTTTGTATATCATTCACTATATTATGCAGAAACTTAATAATACCACAGTACTTTATTAGAAGTTTTATAACATAAAACAAGGGAAGAACCACAATAAGTGCAAAGAGGTTGCTTGAAAAAGTGATTGTGGCTACTTTTGAAATTTAGTTTAAATCATTGTAAGAATGAAAATATTTGGTGGAGCTGATGTACTAGGTATTCTAAAAATAAAAGTGTACTAGAAACATAAGACAAATTCAATGACAGTAAATCTAATGAAATACATTAGCATGTTAAACTAAACAAAGCTAAAGAGTAAGATCCATAACAATCAACATCTTTATTTACTAAATTCGACAGCAAGAACCAAAATCATCAGAAAAATATCCTTTTAAAATGAGATTTGCAGTCTCAAAGTTATTTCAGGTTTAACTTACTTTAAAATATAGTTGCTCCATTTTTTCATCTATACAGTTAGCATAAAAATAACAGGCAAAATTATGTGAATACATCAATAAAACAAATTTAATAAGTAAGTAAATAACTGACCACAGGAGGTCCATGTCTGTGTCTACATACACACACACACACACACACACACACACACACACACACACAAATAGAATTGCAAACACAAATAAAGTGTTCCTGCGATATTTTTAAAACTCCTCCCACAAGCCCAAAGTCCTTCCTCGATCTAGTATCTTCCAACCAGTTTTCTTAGAATAACATTAGGAAATTTTCTTTGGGAATATTTTTTGGTGTGTAAAGAACATGAGTGTTTGGAAAGCCCCCGATAATATCATGGTGTGTATGTGTGATTTTTTCTTTCTTTCTGAAAATTCGTGAAGATTTTGATTATCTAACAGTGGTGTGGAATGAAAGCCCTTGAAATTGGAGCATCTTTAGAGGTGAGAATTATAGCGCCATTGGTTGCCAAGGATCACGTCTGTGTAGCTTACATAGCTAGGGAGGAATGTGCCAAGGGCCAGGTGCCTTGACAATAAAGAACATAAGGAATATTTGCTTTTCAAGTTTCTCCTTTGAGTTAGGAAAAAAAAAGATTGCATTTGCAAAGCAAAAGGAGAATTTCCATACATACACACACACACACACACACACACACACACACACACATACTCAGAAAGCAATAATTATATTGCTAATGTCTAATTTCAATAATAAATATATATTTTACAGTCTATTCTACTTAAGTATTTTGATAAGACTAACAACATTCCCACCATCACCAAATATTACACCTTTTTGTGCTGTTTGACGGGGAGAGAGAAATCCAGTTTTTCTTCTCCAAGACAGAATATTGCAAAATAACTATTACTTTCAGGCAAAAATTGCCCAACTGAAGGAACATACAAAATATTAAAATAATAAAATCAGAAAGATACTTTACAATCCATCTTTTACCTTCAAATTT